GTTTTGCTCTTCATTATGTTGATGCAAAGTAGATTTCTGCATGCTGACCTCTCGCTTCTTAGGGGACTTCAAGGTCGCTCAGTTTGAGTGGAGCCTTGATGGCTGCTTAAGCTGACGAGATAGCATTTTTCACCTCGTATCGAGGTGCTAATCTATCAACATCTAAACAATATCGGATTCTCTTTCTAATAACGGCCTTAGCGTAGGGATTTTATTTTCGAGCTTATATCAAGGTACCATCCCATCGCGAGTCCCAGTTATCTTCGGCGATGGCTTTCGGTCTTAGGGGAATTATTTTGAATCCTTGTCGAAATGTTGGTCCGTCATCGTTCTACCGAAGTCGAACTCATATTTTTGTCAGTGGCTTTAGCCATTGGGACGTTACTTTCGAGCTGGCGTCGAGGCAGTATCCCGTCGTTGTTCGAGTGAAGTCGAACTCTTCTTTTTGGCGGAGGCCCTTGGCCTTGAAGGTGTTATTTCGATCTTTCGTCGTAATATTAACCCATCGTTGTTCGATCGAAGTCGAACTCTTCTTTTTGGCGGAGGCCCTTGGCCTTAAAGGGTGTTATTTCGATCTTTCGTCGAAATATTAACCCGTCGTTGTTCGATCAAAGTCGAACTCTTTTTTTTGGCGGAGGCCCTTGGCCTTAAAGGGTGTTATTTCGATCTTTCATCGAAGTATTAACCCGTCGTTGTTCGATCGAAGTCGAACTCTTTTTTTTGGCGGAGGCCCTTGGCCTTAAAGGGTGTTATTTTGATCTTTCGTCGAAATATTAACCCGTCGTTGTTCGATCAAAGTCGAACTCTTCTTTTTGGCGGAGGCCCTTGGACTTAAAGAGTGTTATTTTGATCTTTCGTTGAAATATTAACCCGTCGTTGTTCGATCGAAGTCGAACTCTTCTTTTTTGGCGGAGGCCTTTGGCCTTAAAGGGTGTTATTTCGATCTTTCGTCGAAATTTTAACCCGTCGTTGTTCAATCAAAGTCAAACTCCTCTTTTTGGCGGAGGCCCTTGGCCTTAAAGGGTGTTATTTCGATCTTTCGTCGAAATATTAACCCGTCGTTGTTCGATCAAAGTCGAACTCTTCTTTTTGGCGGAGGCCCATGGCCTTAGGGTGTTATTTCGATCTTTCGTCGTAATATTAACCCGTCGTTGTTCGATCGAAGTCGAACTCTTCTTTTTGGCGGAGGCACTTGGACTTAAAGGGTGTTATTTCGATCTTTCGTCGAAATATTAACCCGTCGTTGTTTGATCGAAGTCGAACTCTTCTTTTTGGCGGAGGCCCTTGGCCTTAAAGGGTGTTATTTCAATCTTTAGTTGAAATATTAACCCGTCGTTTTTCGATCGAAGTCGAACTCTTATTTTTTGCGGAGGCCCTTGGCCTTAAAGGGTGTTATTTCGATCTTTCGTCGAAATATTAACCCGTCGTAAGTATGGCGCTCTATTCTGTTTGCTGGAGTATCGTGGATGCCAGTTTCATTCATACATTGGAGATTTGTTGGAGTATCGTGGATGCTAGTTTCGTTCATACATTGGAGATTTTGATTATATTCTTGTAGGAAACCAGTGTTAACTTTGTATATACAATGGGGATTTGGCTATCTATACCCAGTCCCTTCATTACTCGGCCCGTAGACCGTGTCAATGGGCAGGGTGATGAACAACACTCCGGACTTCGAGACGTCTCCCTTGTCGCCTCGTCAGAAATCTCATAGAGAACCTGATAAGGATAAAACCCGGGTGAGGGAGAAAGTGCGATTTAGGAGGTGCCTCTTTTCAGAAGTGGAAGTATTTGAGATGGGCGACATTTTTCAAAGAACTCGGTTGTTTTCTTTCCGACAGATTGGGGTCTGTTGTCGCAGTTGATTTCTTTGGGAATGCCAAAGCGGCATATTATATTTTTCCTTATGAATGCGATAACTTCTTGCTCACGTATCTGCGTGTATGCACCTGCTTCCACCCATTTAGAAAAATTGTCAGTTAAAACCAAAAGAAAGCGTACCATACCTCGCCCTGCTGGAAGGGATCTAACAATATCCATCCCCCACTTTATGAACGGCCATGGCGATGTGATAGAGTGCAGCAGTTCTCCTGCTTGGTGTATCATAGGGGCGTATATTTGACATTGTTCACATTTTCTAACATAGTCTGCGGCTTTTTTTTCATGGTGGGCCAGTAGTATCCCGCACGGATGAGGCATCTGATAAGGGCACGGTTTCCTGTATGAGCACCACAGTTCCCCTCATGTACTTCTTCTAATACCCGCCTTGTTTGGTTTGGTCCGAGGCATTTGGCCAGGGGGCCACCGAACATCCTTTCGTAAAGGTCGTGATTCATGAGGCTGTACCTAGCCAACTGTATTCGGAGCTTTTTGGCTTCCTTCTTATCTTGCGGGAGCGTTCCTTCCTACAAATAAGTCACGACATGATTGCGCTAGTCCCAAGTCAGATTTATAGAATGTACCTCGACCTGGTCTATCGAGGAATAGAGGAGGGCGACCAAGTTTTCTTTATTGATATTTTTGGTGGCTGCCGCTAATTTGGGGAGGTCGTCTGCTTTGGCATTCTACGCCTTGGGTGTCTGGTGGGGGCGGCATTCATCGAATTCAGGTAGTAGTTTACGAATTTCTGACTGGTACTTTTGTAGTCTCGGTTCTTTGATTTGGAAAGTCCCAGTGACTTGATTCATCGCGAATTGGGAATCGGTATGTAAGTCGAGTCGTCATATTTTAGGGCTAATTTCAATCCTGCAATCATAGCTTCATGCTCGGCCTCGTTGTTAGTCATTTCGGGGCATTGTGTGGATTGGCGAATCACTCCGCCCGTAGGGACTTCGAGGATGAGTCCCAGCCAGTTTAATTTTGCTTGCGTCGGGGAGCGTGATATCGAAAAATAGGAAATGCTGCTACTTAGCTCGCACTCGTTTCATACACATTGGAGTTTTCCTGTCTAACCTTTTCGTTCTCCATTTTTGGGATGTCGACTTAGCGGGTGGGACAATGAATTATGCTTTGACCTCGGNTCCTTGTGTTATACAGCCATATAGCTCTTCTTTAACACCATTAATTAATCCAACAAATACTTAATTAAACGACAGTATTCCAGAAATGATTCTGTTTTCAGTCGTAATTTATTTTAATTAGAGCACATCATTCTAGAAAGGACTCTGTTACTTTGGAATTCACTTACAATAAATAAAAGAGTCGTCCTCATCAAATCATCAAAAGTCACGCCAAAGTATATATATATATATATATATATATATATATATATATATACCTTCAAAAATATCTGGCGGTGTTCTATATTTTTTATGATATCAAACGATTTAAAAAGTACTAACAATTTCCCCTCCCCCCCCCCCCCCCCCTTTCTTTGACAAGTTCTAACGACACCTGGATAAGAGCATGAGTTACAAGTCTATAAATGCGTTTCTAGAATAATTAGTATATTTATTTTGACCATATCTAATAATATGACAAAAAAAACGTTTCCAGAAAAAAAGACTTTCTTTTAAAATGTGAAAAGGAGTACTAGATACTCCCGATATTTGCTTCAACAAATATAGGATGATAATGGTAGTAATTAATTTCGTGCGTGAATTTGTTTTGTACTAGTTGTTTGACTCAAAAAATATTGAAACCTTTTTGAACAAATCAACCAAAGAAAATGAAGAGGTAAGTCTTACACAAACCTAATAACCTCTAGATCTATAAACGATCGGAGAATAATGCATACAATGAAATAGGAATAGATCAATCTTATTGGTATTTTACATTTCTTCATTCGTTAATCGATGAAGATCACTGTTTTTTGTCTTCCATGGGAAGGCTCCTCTTTCTAAGAAGATTACAAAGGAAAGCCCCCCTTTCATTGAGAGACTCCTCCCCTATATATAGTTATGGAATTCTCACTATGGGTCGATACAACTCACACGACGTCCGCTTTCGTCGTTCCCTGAGTGCCGTTCTTTGTTACGGCGAGCATTGTGAGTACGGGGTTTTGGAGCAAACCATGTCGTCCTTCGCTATCTCGTCGCTTGGACGGGATCTTGGTCAGGTCGACTGGCGATCAGATTTTGACCAATACACTAGTTAAGGTATAAAGTATAGGGGTGTTTGGTCGGGAAACAAATTATCCTAAAATTAATTATTCCAGGATTGTTATCCCACTCTCCCATAGGAATAAAAATAGCACTACAATCCCGGGATTAGTTATATCGCAATTTTATCCCAACTAAACGTAGAATAAACTCATCTCAAATTTTATTTCGGGATAAAATTATCCCTTATTCCCCATATATAGCTGCAAACGAGCACTAAAGATAGTATCAGCTTCTAGCGTGACTTGTGACGTTAAAAAATACATAATTTAATTTAAATTTTCGTATAGGAAACAGCAACAAATAAAATATCATTAAGTATAGCATTAGAACTTAGAAGATGATCATGGATTTTGCGATTGAGTTTATGTTCTATAATATGCATCGACAGTATAATTTTTTTTACACAATCTCATTATCTGTAATGTAATTATGAATAAATTTATACAGTAAAAATAATTAATAATCTAATAAAAATGATATAACTAATTAAATTGCTTCACATGTTAAATTACTACTTATAACTTAAATCTCATGAGATTTTGATGCTTTTCTAAGCACGCAATCCATACTTCACGCTAAATCCTTAAATGTGTGATGTGATTTGATGCCACTTGCTCATTTGCTAGTTGCTTCTTCTCTTAAAAATTATTTATAAAACAGGCACAATTACGGTGTGCTGACACGGTTTTGCCTCATTCCTTATTTCCTAAGACATTTCCCTTGAAATTTAATTAAAGTGTGCTTACATTTCTAATATAATCTTCTATAAATATCACAAAACACATTCTCAAAGGACACAACAAAATTTGAAGAATGGCATCATCAACTTCTGTCCTTTCAATACCATCACTTCCATTCAAACCATTTTCTCAAAAAAGATCAATAAGTACAAGAACAATGACTTTGGCAATGAAACGAGATCAAGCCAATGATCAGAATTATTATAATGGTGGAAATGTGGACGAAAACATGATTATACTTAGAAAAAGGATTCAAGAGATGAAGATGATAGAGAAGAATTACGAGCCACCAACAGAATGGATGGATTGGGAGAAGAACATTTATGTGAATTATAATTCGAGTATTTGTGAAGCCATGGGATTATTGCAATATTTGTTGATGAATACAAGGCCAAGCTTGGCTTTAGGGATGGTTGTACTTATTGCATTGAGTGTGCCCACATCAACTTTTTTTGTACTTTTTCATCTCGTAGAGTTTACTAAAGGGGTTTTGGCTGGTATTCATATTTGTTAAAAACTCAATAGCTGTAGTATATGTAGAAAAGATGAAGAAGAAAGTTCTTTATTTTTTTATTTTTTGTGGCTTTAAGATTGATTCTTTTGATTTGTTAATATCATTTGAAGATTCAAATTGACATGAATAACGAAAATACTAGTATTTGTTATTTGTGGGTCTAGTATTATATGGATATGTATAAAGTTGATTCTTTTTCGTTTGTTACTTCTAATTTTTAAAAATTCCATTCATGATATAAATTCTTTGACCCTTACCTAATTATTTCTCCTTTTTGCAAGGGAGAGCTAGACATGCAATAATTGAAACCTGAAGAAGCAAATTAAATAATGGTGGCCACCACACTTTACTTTTTAATTATAGCTGGAGTTTATAAAATTAGAGAAAATTCAAAAAAGAGAAAAAGCATGACCCCAGCTAAACCCAGATCAGCTCAGCCCTACCTATTAGCTTGATGGGTCATTAGTTCTGTAGAGCCCCAGTAACCAAAAAAGTCCAACCACAATTCCAGCCACTTATATGGGTCAGGGCTAAAGGCCCACGGGCTAAACCCTTATTCCGGATCAGCCCAGTAGACATGCCTAGTTACGAGGAAGAAATTCAAAAATAGCCAGATTTACAAGTGGTCATTCAAAAATAGCCACAATTTCAAAAGTAATCGAAATTTAGACCATTTTTCAATGTAAAAGATAAATACTGAATGAAAACACTGTTCAAAATTCAGAAAATACTCCAGCATAATATACTGGAGTTCCGGCTTAAGTATACTGGAACTCCAGTATATTATAATGGAGTTCCAGCAATATACTGGAGTTCCAGTATAATATACGGATCCAGTACAATATGCTGGAAGTTCACACACAGGTGATCCAATTTCCAGTATGTTATGCTGGAACTTTCCGCGTATTTATTTTTCAATGACTTTGCAAACGCTGGCTATTTTTGAATGACCGGTTCGAAAACTGGCTAACCCGTGCTATTTTAACTAGTTACAACCATCAAGCGATTTTTACCTAACTATGTTATATTATAAACTTGTTTATCCCAACTAGAGAAATTATCACTTAATTGCATCCAGTATACATATTTAATTATACACAAATTAGTGATATGTAAATTTAGAACCCCTTGACCACTAAACTACACTTTTCGATTGTGTTAAGGGTGTTCAAAACTTAATATATAAAGGTAAAAAACAGATTTTGCCTTATATATACAGTGTAATTTTTCGGCGAAGGGTGTTCGGGTGAACACCCTTGCGCCCCCTAAATTCGCCTCTGCCTCCCCTCCCCCCCCCCCCCCTCCATCCCCACCCCCACGCTGGAGTTCAGCCGAGAAGCCATGAACGACCTCGACCATCGTGAAAACCTCCATAGAAGACATTCTTCCTCCTCCATTAAAACCTAACAGCAAAACCACCTAAAATTAGCCTTAAATCAATATTAAAATTATTCAAAAATAGTAGCAAACTTCATAAAAATTAACCAAAAACCTCCAATAACCATAGCTTAAGCCGGCGACAAAAGAGGGATTAAGAGAAAGGAGGGATTAAGTGAAGACTAGAGTTGGTTTGGTTGAAATTTTAGATTGAAAATCAAAGAGGGAGAAGAGCATTCCATATACAAAATAGACAGAAAGATATATTACATGACTATTGTACAAAAAGAATCGTATTTAAATTGTACGGTATTGTAGTTGCATTAAACTTGTAAGAATATTATATGAAAGTTGTAGATAAGTTGTAAATAAGTTATATATTGTTTGATTAGTTGTATAAAAATTATATTTAATTTGTCTGTTATTGTTGATAATTTATATCAAATTTGTATGCTACTATACATATATCAAATTTATATTAATTTTTTTTACGAATTTTGTATTTAATTTGTATGTTGATGTACCATACATTCTTCTTTTCTTGCTCGATTTGCTAAAGAAGAAAAAGAAGAGAATGGGTTGTTGCTATGTTTTTTCGATGAGTCACTGCTGATGGTTGGCCTGGAAATTTGTCACGGCCTAATTTAGGATCGTGACCGGCGCTTAGGAGCAAGTGCTCCCAAGTAAGCCTCATCGGTATTTTACAGAAAATCGGACAGAGTTTCCCCTGTTTATGGACTATCCAAAAATTTCCCTGTCTCAAAATCAACAACCAATCATCCTAATATCAAACCAAACAATCGACTACTTATCAATTAACCAAAACAAATCTCCACCATTACTAATCAACCCACTAACAACCAGAATACTAATTTATCTCCAATTTCGATAAGAAAGTGCAATACTCATCATAAGTCTATAATAACGAAAGGATACTCATGACGCTAAAAGAATGACTATGGAGCGACTCTAAGAGTTCAAGGAAAAGACCATAACAATAAATAAAACATCCGCCCACGCGAACAAGTGCGAGGCTCACCAAGAACTATCAACCTGCAATTAACGAAATCCTCGCCCGCGTCAACTGCTGTCTCTGTAAAAAAAAAAGTTAGCGAGGAATGAGTCACAAGCTCAGTGAGTAATAACACTTAACCACAACCGTTTTTATTAGGGACAAGTCAGAAAACATGCTAGTATATCAAGCAAAAAATAACATAGAAATGCCCTTTTTAGAAATAATAAATAATTTTCAGTCTCATAATATAATTAACAATTCAGTAATAAGCTCGGTAACCACTGTATAATATCAATATTCATATTTTGGGAGGTTTCAATGAACGGATCATGTAATCGGTATAATTGTGGACTTCTTCGCAAGAAGTCAAATATAACGGTAGTCCCTACTCGAGGGAAATCAGTAATGGCATGCTAGTTCTACCTTCCCACTAGCGAGGGATGTAGCTGTAATCGGTAATTACAAGGTGCACCAGGTCTAACGAACCCGCCGTTAGCTACGGGATCCTTCAAAGTCTACTCCCATTTATACTTGTCTCTGTATCCGTATATACTCATAGAAAAATATTTTATAACAATATAGGGCATTTCGGTTCTTATCAAATCATGTAATTTCATTTCGATAACAGTAAATTCAAGTAACGGTAAAATAGATCGAGTGACAACGAAAATATTTAAAACAACGATAATCATCTCAAATAACTATTTCGGTATCATATCGAGTAAAAGACCTTGTCCCATATGCAACTCAAAATAATCGGTGACATATTTATATTAAAAATTATGTGTAAATTATGCAAGTTATGAAAATACAAATTCCGGTAAGATTACTACCATAATACTTCGTGCGAAATACCAAACTCGCCACCTCGAACGATCCGTAAGAATTTCTTCAATCAATCTACAATCACATCAATATCGATCTCGTGCTAATTTCCTTGTTTTAGCTAATTCACAACTAATTTAGAATGCCCTACCCTTCGGTTCATGTTTGACTCTTAATTCATCAATTTATACTTACTCACGCTACTGGTAGTTTTGGATACTTTAAAATCTTTTAAATACAACTTATTCATATGATATACCCAGTTAATTCACGGAAAAGTCTTATGAATTTCTCCTACTTTTCTTGGCTTTATCTTTCATATTCTTAATCCATATTCCAAAATTATATCTACTCGGCCCTATAAGAATCATGTATATAAAATTCCATTGTTTGTACTAGATTAATAGTAACTTGAATTTTGTTGATAGCTAATAGTGTGCTAAGTATTAAGTAAAGGAATCAGATTACCATGAAAAAGTTTTAGAAATCAATTACCTAGCTTGTTCCCCTTCTCTGTAAATCCCTTTTCTAGAACAAAGTAAACCCACCTTGTGGTTGCTTTTGATCGCCTATGTCCGTTTTGCTTCTGCCGAGCTTGGCCCTTTATTCTTTTGTTTTTGAATGCTTCAATGCTTCTGTTTTTTTTTAGCGCAGCTTTGCTGCTTTCCCCTTTCCCCCCAGAGGCGGACCCAGGATTTGAAGATGACGGGGGCACTATTAATGGAGAACTTTACCAATAGTTGTTGGGTCCCGCCGGATGCCGATAAACTTTCGGTGATAACTGACATATATAAGTGAGTTAGGAGGTGAAGTTGGGTATGGAGTTTGGGAAAAGGAAAGAGAGAAGTGATTTAGAGTTTTTAAGGTTGGGGTTTTATCAAAACAAAAAACATTTGAAAAAATAATTAAAAGAAAAAAAAAAGAGGTTTGGAGGGGGGGTTGAATCCTAAGCTAAAAAGGCAAGATATAAATAAATTGAAAGTCTAGGGTACAGTTAATATTTAAGCTAAAAAGGAAAATTATATAGGGAAGGTGAGGTAGTCCAGATTTGAACCTAGGACATCCAACACACACAGAAGCAAGCAGCGCATTTGACCAGTAACCCCATCACGCTTTTGTGCTTTAAGGTGCACAATTAAATATAAACCCACTTCTCAAGGTATATATACATATAATACATATATATACAGAATTTTTTCAGATGTTTACGGGGTCCCGTGACCCCTCTACCATACACGTAGCTCCGCCTCTGTTTCCCCCTTTCTTTGTTTTTTTATTGGTTTTGGCTAAAATGGGCTTCGGCTTTTATTGAATTCCTTCTCTCTTTTTTGTGTTTTATTAGTTAGTTTCTATATATATATATATATATATATATATAGTGCTAATGACCAATGAACCCTTATTAAAAGAATAGGGTATTACGTTCTCCCCACCTTATGAAATTTGGTCCCCGAATTTACAACAAGTGCATACATGTAGACTGAAATAAATGGGGATACTTCGCTTGCATATATTTTTCTACTTCCCAAGTAGCTTCTTCATCGGTATGATTTCTCTATAAGACTTTAATGAACACAATTTCTTTTGACCGTAGCTTCCTTACTTGCCTATCAACAATAGCCATCAGCTCCTACTCGTAAGACAACTTCTCATCGAGCGGTATAGTCTGAGCTTCAAGCACCTGAGATGAGTTTGATATACATTTTCTTAGCATTGAGACATGAAACACTGGATGAATAAAGGACAACTCGGGAGGAAGTGCCAAACGATAAGCCACGGCTCCCACTCGGTCTAGTATCTCATATGGTCCTATAAACCTGGGGCTCAACTTGCCTCTTTTCCCAAACCGCAGCACACCTTTCATAGGGGAGACTCGTAGGAACACTTTATCCCCAATTGTGAACACTAAATATCTTCTTCTCTTATCTGCATAAGACTTTTGTCTGCTTTGAGCTGTGAGCAACTCTGCCTGATTAATTGAAATTTGTCAATAGCTTCTTGTACTAAGTCGGGTCCCAATAAGTTAGTCTCACCAGCTTCAAACCATCCAATAGGAGAACGACATCTCCTACCATACAATGCTTCGTACGGTGCCATTTGAATACTGGACTGGAAGCTATTATTGCAAGCAAATTTAGCTAAAGGTAGATAAGCGTCTCAACTACCTCAAAACTCAAGAATGCAAGCTCTCAACCAGAATCCTCCAAGAATTGTATAGTACGTTCAGATTGCATATCTGTCTTTGGGTGAAATGCAGTACTAAGATCTACTCGTGTACCCAATGCTTCTTGAAAAGATTTCCAAAAGAGTGAAGTGAACTGTGATCCTCTATCAGAGATGATGTATACTAGAACTCCGTGAAGTCGGACAATTTCGTTCATAAATATCTGAGCATACCTCACTCCACCATATGTAGTCTTCACTGGCAAAAAGTGCGCCGATTTCGTCAGTCGATATACAATCACCCATACAGAGTCATAACCTCTAAGGGTTCGTGGTAGCCCGGTGACAAAGTCCATAGTAATTCTTTCCCATTTCCACTCTGGAATCTCAATTTTTTGTAACAGTCCTACGGGTCGCTGATGTTCAGCCTTGACCTACTGACAAGTCAAACAACTAGAAACAAAGTTAGAAACATCTTTCTTCATACCTTACCACCAATAAAATTGCTTCAGGTCATGGTACATTTTTGTGGATCCAGGATGTATAGTGTATTTAGAGTTGTGGGCTTCTTCAAGAATAGCATGTCTCAACCCATCTACGCCTGCTACACATAACCTGTCACCCATTTGAAGCACATCATCACTTCCAACAATCATATCCTTGCTTTTACCAGCTAAGGCCTCATCTCTGTATTTGCATAATCGCTCGTCCTCATATTGGGTGGCCTTGATGCGCTCAACTAATGAGACTTAGCTTGAGCACAAGCCAACAATACCTATGAATTTCCGACACTAAATCCGATACCTGTATCTTATAGTCTCTGAATATCTTTGGCCAAAAGTCTCTTTGCAGGAGCTATATGTGCCAAACTCCCCATAGATTTTCTGCTCAATGCATCAGCCACCACATTGGCTTTTCCAGGATGATACAAAATAGAACAATCATAGTCTTTGAGTAGTTCCATCAACCGACGCTTCCGAAGATTCTGATCTCTCTACTAAAAGATATACTTCAGACTTTTATGGTCAGTATAAATCTCACAAGTTTCGCCGAATAGATCTCCAAATTTTTAGAGCAAATACCACTGCAGCCATCTCCAAATCATGTGTAGGATAGTTTTGCTCGTGCTTTTTCAATTGTCTCGAAGCATAAGCTATAACGCGACCATTTTGCATGAGAACACATCCTAATCCCACCCTCGATGAGTCACAGAACACTATAAATCCTACCGAACCTGATGGTAAGGCTAATATTGGTGCAGTTGTCAAACATGTTTTGAGTTTCTGAAAGCTCTGCTTACATTACTCCATCCACTGAAACTTTGCATTTTTCTGTGTTAGCTTAGTCAGTGGCGGTGCTATTCTGGAGAAATCCTGCACAAAATGTATGTAACAACCTGCTAAGCCTAAAAAGCTGTGAATCTCTGTAGGAGAAGTAGGTCTGGGCCATTTCTGCACAGATTCGGTCTTCTTAGAATCTACCATAATTCCATCTTTGGATACAACATGCCCCAGAAATGATACTGAGTCTAGCCAAAATCCACACTTTGAGAACTTAGCATAAAGCCGATGTTCTCGCAATGTCTGCAACACAATCCTGAGATGATTCTCGTGTTCTCCTTGGCTACAAGAATATATCCATCAATAAATACTATTACAGTCTATCCAGAAACGGCTTGAACACCCTATTCATTAAATTCATGAATGCAGCTGGAGCATTAGTCAGTCCGAAAGGCATCACAAGAAACTCATAGTGCCTGTATCGAGTTCTGAAAGCAATTTTAGAAATATCTTCATCTTTGATTCTAAGCTGATAGTAACTAGAAGGGAGGTCAATCTTTGAAAAGTGGGCAGCTCCTTGTAACTGATCAAACATGTCGTCTATAAGAGGCAAAGGATATTTATTGCGTATTGTTATCTTGTTCAACTGCCTGTAGTCAATGCACATTCTCAGGGGTCCGTCTTTCTTCTTTAGGAACAGTACTGGTGCACCCCATAGTGATACACTAGGCCTTATAAAACCCTTATCTAGCAAATCCTGCAAATGTTGCTTTAGCTCCCTCAAATCTGCTGGTGCCATACGATATGGGGGTGTTGATATAGTTTGTGTGTCAGCTTGCAAATCAATACCAAAATCTATTTCGCGTATTGGAGGCAATCCTGGTAAATCCTTGGGAAATACATCAAAAAATTCTCTCACTACTGGTACGCTTTCTGTGCGAACTGTTTCCTTTCTTGGGTCAGCTAAGAGACCCAAACAACCTTTCTTCAGAAGTCGTTGAGCCTTCATAAAAGATATAACTTTGCATGTCTCTGGAACCTGACCCCCTCTTAGAACAAAACTAGGTTCGTTTGGTATCTCAAACTTAACTATCTTTGCATGACAATCGACGATAGTATAGCAAGAAGATAACCAATCCATTCCCATCAGCATGTCAAAGTCAATCATATCAAGTACAATAAGGTCAACTAGAGGATCTCTACCCTCAACCCGAATCTGGCAAGCACGATACACGTGTTCAGCTAATAGAGACTCTCTAACAGGAGTAGCAACCAGAAAAGGATCATCAATAGCTCAGGTTGTCTGCTAAAACTCAAAGCAAAGTATGAGGATACATAGGAGTGAGTAGATCCCGGATCAATCAAAGCAAGTGCATCAAATGAACAGATAGAAAGAATACCTTTAACCACAGCATTCGAGGCCTGAGCATCCTGTCTAGTAAATGCAAAAACTCTCTCCTGACCTCTACCAGCATTCCCTTGTCCTTGATTCACAGTAGCACGATCTCCAGCACCTCGACCTCTATTTCCTGTACCTGAAGTATTACGAGTAGTCTGAGTAGGTGCAGTTGACTGAATAGAAGCCTGGTTAAAATTTCTTGGAGGCTGAGGGCAATCCGTCAAGTGATGTCCCAATTGGACACACCGAAAGCACTCTCTAGTTAGAACACGACATTGGCCAGATGCTGACTGTCCCCTAGTACCGCTTCTGTAATGTGGCATGTATGTGGACTGTGAAGACAAGTGTGTCCCTGTCTGAGAACCCTGTTGTTGTCATTGATTTCTTGCTCTTCGATTTTCACTAAAACCGTCACTGAAAGACCCTTCTGTCTTGTCCTTCTTACGTAAATCACTAGCTGCACGCTCATCACGTCCCTTGTTTTCAATCTTTCTAACAAGGTCGACTGCATCAGAGTAGGATAAAGTCTTCATCTGTTGGGCTACTGCAGTGTATAGACGACCAACCAATCCATCAACAAACCTCTGAACTCGAGCTTCTTCGGTAGGCACTAAGTAAGGAGCATATCTAGCCAGCTTACAAAACTTGGTGTTATATGTTGACACATCCATATCTGGAGTCTGAACCAATCACTCAAAGTCTCTAGCATATTTTTGCATCAGGCTGTCTGGAAGAAAATGATTCATGAACAACTTAGTGAACTCATCCCATGTCAGTGGTGTTGCTCCTGCTGGCCTTCCTAGCAACACAGTTTCATACCATGTATTGGCCATATCCTCTAGTTTGTATGATGCGAGCTCCACGGCTCTCTCACTACAACATCCTAGAGCACGTAATG